ATTCTCTCAGGAAAACAACAAAGGTGTTAAGATTGATTACATACTTTACTTTTCCTTCTGGCCACCATTTGTCACTGTTGTAAGTAAACAGCAAAATAAAATCTCTTATTAAATGAGACTCCATACAAATCCCACACAGGCTGTACTTGTAAGAAAAAAGAAAAGTCTCTTCTTCAGGTGCCTAGATTTGATCTTTCTATATAAATCAATAGTTACCTCTACACACTGTTCACCAATCTTAGACACATACTTTTAGTTACTCAGTATAGAAAGTCTACATTTCATTCAGTCTACATTTTAAGCAATCTTCCAATTTCTTATATAGAAAACCTTCTTATTCAGTCCTGCTATTGTTCAGCTAACTCATAGCCCTGTGACATAAATCTAATTAAGACTTTGACTAGCACAATTAGAATTAGAATTCAAAAATACAATTAAAGGTTTTAAATGCAAAAAAAAGTGATTTTGGTATTAAATGTAAATGACATCTTTATTCTAAGAATTCATCAGTTTGGAAGTTAATGCAATTAATGAAGCGAGAAATAAGATGCAAATCCAAACGTTTCTATTCCTTCGCTTAGTTTGCTGCCATGGGCAAACCCTAAAGAGGAATTAAAGTCGATTGCCACCAAAAAAGGAGGAATTGAGGATGTGCTATCTTAGATAGTTGTATATAGGACTTCCTGAATAAGAGACACATTCAGTTGAATGTATGTAAGTTTGTGTGGAAACATGTGCATAAATGAATGAATGTAAGGACAATTAAATTGTTGAAACAATAGGATTCATATTATTTTTATAAAAAAATATAGCCATTGGAACACCCTAGAATTTAAGGATAAAAATCTAGAATATAACTAAAAATTGAAAATAGAAAACCCTCAGAAACTCTGAAATCGTGAAAAAATATGTTGGCATTCTGAAAAAATGATTATAGGTATGTTGAGAATATGAACAATTTTCTACTTAAATGGTACATGTGGATCACTCAGAGAAAAACATGCATCACCACCAGCTACTGCCCAGATTATAAGAAAACATCTATGGGCAATCCACTCGGGTCCCCTGTCACTGTGGGAGTTTTTCTGCCCTTTCAATAAATCCTGCTTTAAAAAAAAAAAAGAAAACGTCTACATCTATTTCTTTAAAAATCTCTAACCGTGACCAACACATCAACTATTTTCTATACATTCATTTGTATATTTAAAAATAAGTAAAAGTAGTTTTTTATCTGAAAAATTATTTAAAGCATGAAGATTACTGTAATTCATATGTTAATCTACAAAACGATCAGATATTGTGACCAGTAACCTAAAATTTCTCCCCAGTATCCCTGACTTCTGGTATTCATATCATAGTGAAGTCCTCTTTTCTTGAGTATAGGCAGGACCAAATGATTGCTTTAATCACCAGAAAATAGCAAAAATGATGACATGTAACTTCTGAGATTAGGTTATTAAAGACTATAACTTCTTTTTTTGGCTGGCACTATCTTGTTCTTCTTGTGTGCTTACTCTGATGAATTAATTTGCATGAGTCCATGAATCCCATGGCAAGGGGCTGAGGGTGGCCTCTGGCCAACCATCAGCAAGGAACAGAAGCCCTGAATCTAAAAGCCTTTGAGGAACTGAATCCTGCCAACAACTACTTAAGTGATGTTGGAAGCAGACTATTTCTATTTATGCCTTCAAATGAGAATAGAGCCCTGGCTAACACCTGGATTTCAGCCTTGTGGATACCCTTACACTGAGGACTCTGTTGAACCATGTCTGAATTCTTAATCTACAGAAAGTGTGAGATAATAAATGTTGTTGTGTAAAGCCACTAAGTTAGGGGACATTTTTTCATGTAGCAATAAGTATTTTAGGAGATCTAATTTAGTTCAGCTGATGATCCACTGTCTAATGTTGTAGAAATCAGTTACTGAGAAACTTCATAGAAATTAAATCCATCCAGTCAGTTGAATGGCTGTGTGCCAGAGTGCTATTTGTTGAACAATAATGCTACTATCAGCAGAAAAGATCTTGTCATCATTAAAAATATTTTTCAAAAGAGAAAGTTAAACTTTTCGTTTACTTGTTTAAAACCTGAGTTGCTGCCTTTGTTCTTTGTGTGGGTTCTTGGAAGGTTTATTAATTTAAATCTCCGAAAATAAAAACAAAAATGCTTTTCCATTTAAACTTCTGCTCTTGAAAATCTTTTTCAATCTATTGGCTCACTTTCCTGCCTTTACAAATAAAATACTGTGAGCTTAGCTGCTTTCTTTTGATTACTGTCATGCAATACCTCAGAGTTATATTGAAAATGAATTCTCACTGTACAGTAATTTGGATACAGGAAGTGAAAGAAAGGGTGAGTGGGCACTCAATCTAAAACATCCACTGAAGAGGTTTTGGAAAAAAACATTGGATTTAGATTATTTTCCTCAGATTTGAATTTCTCAGTCAACTTTAAGTATAATAGTAATAATAAGAGCAATAATAATAAACTAGATACTATGTATTCAGATATTTCAGTTACATTTTTGTGTTTTTTTATACAAATTGTTTGAAAACTACATTACTACTCTTCCCTCGTGGCTTAACAAAAAACAGCTGCAATAACAAAAAACTTTCAAATACTATTCCCTTTAGTTAATCATTGCATTCTTTGGTCGTCACGTCATCAGATTACAAACAAATGAACAAGTATTGAAATAGATTACCAATATCATGACAGATTAAAAAGGCATCTTAGTAAACTTTTATTTAATATGGAAAGACAAAGATGCCACCTCTATTTGTGAAAGACACATTGTCCTTAGATTTGAACCTTCAAACAAAACATTTATGCTTGTATTTGTATATTCTTATTCTACATTTGCATTTTATTCAGATTGTAAAAATGCTAGGCTAGAAGATTATTTAAAGTCTGGTGAAAGATTGCAAAAACTATTATTAACATAAGAGCTAGGATGAAACAAAGCTTGGGTGTGTTATCCCAAGTGGAGTGTGCTGCTTTGGAAATTAAAACAAAATTTTTGACATCCATGCTAGAAAATGTAGACATGGATATTATTTTTGTTGTTGTTGTTTTTGTTTTTTGTTGTTTTTTTTGAGTTGGAGTCTCACTCTGTCGCCCAGACTGGAGTGCAGTGGCCGCTCCCGACCACCGCATCCTCGACCTGCTGGTCTTCGGTGATCCTTCGCCTCAGCCTTCCAAGTAGCCGGAATTACAGGCATGAGCTATCACGCCCAGCTGATTTTTTGATTTATTGTAGAGATGAGGTCTCGCTGATCAGGCGGGTCTCCAACCCGCGGGCTCAGGCAATCCACTCACCTCAGCCTCCCAAAGGCGCGGGATTACAGGCTGAGCCACCGAGCCTGGCATCTTTTCTTAATAATAGTGCTGGGTTTCTATAAATGCTGTCAATGAAGAGTTGACTCAAGTGTGTACAGTTTAGTTTCACATTTTTTATTTCTAAAGTTAAAATTGTTTATCTTTCAAGCTTGAAGGAGATTCATTCAAGTTGGTTATTCTTTAGGGTAAGGTATTTGGATTATTTCACTATGTCCTTTGTCTTAAAAATGTTTGATTCGTGAAAGTAACCATAAATAGTTCACAAAGCTGTAATGTGCAGAAGGATGGCATGTGAAATTTGAATGGGAAATTAAATTCCACCTATATTCTAATGGTATGTAGAAGAACAAAACACCTGCATTCTGAGCTATCCTTTCTGAACTGAAATAACCATACAGTCCCTTCTCTGGACCTCATCCTGTCAGTCATTTCAGCCAAAACCATAAGAATATGGTATATATAAGGAAAAGTGTTCAAAAAGAACAAAGAAGTATTCTATTATGGTCCAAGACTCTAGTGTGCCTTTCCTTGGAATACCCAGTATAATTCTGGTTGCCATGTCTTACAAATTGAGAATATCCAAAAGCACAGAGCAGTTGAGGCACTATTCTGGGCACTGGAGACACAGGTGTAAGTAAAACAGGTGAAAATCTCTGTTTTCTTGAAGCTTATGCTTACTGAAATAAGACAATCAATAGATATGTAAAATACTTAGTATATCACAGAGTGATAAGTGCTCTGGGTGAAAAATAAAGCAAGGTAGTGGAGAGAGAGTGCTGGTGGGTGGTGGGTGGCAGCTTTTAGGGATGGTTTGGAGTTTTGAATAGGTAGCAAAGGAAGAAATACTGACAAAGTAATATTTGAAGCAAGAGCCAAGGGTGGAGGGAGAATAGATCTTATGGGAGTCAGGGAGAAAAGGGTTCTAGGCATATTGGGGAATAAAAGGCCTGTATTGCTGAAGTGAAGTTGGCCCAGGAGAATAACAGTAGTTAAGATGAATATTATAATAGGAGACCATCTAGTATATCTTAAGGATTTATGCTCTTATTCTGACTGATGAGAAGGTATTGATCAGAAGACTGACATTTTCTCTCTTTATCAAAACATCACCTTAAACTACTGTGTTGAAAATAAATATAGAGAGGCAATTATAATCGTTGAGCAGTGAGAGGACTTTCTTGTGATAATGGAATAAAAGTACAAATGCCTCTTCACTGAACAAAGTGAAAAGGATTATGATATACACTCAAAATATTGAAAAGGTTTGCCTACTTTGATTATAGGCTTGATTGACAGTCCTAGAATTTCTAGAACTACTTATTTTTGTTTTTAAAATCAGAAGGAGGCTCATCTGCATTTTACAGAGCAGATGATGAACTTAGGAAATATCCCCCGAAATGTCCCAGTTGGAAATATGTACTGCTTTAAGCGGTATTTAGAGAAATGATGCTCTAGGAATAGGATCCTTATTAGATGAACAAGATAAGTGAGGGGTGTATGTGAGTGCCTTGGTTAGCTTTGAAATTAGAATGCTCTCCTGCAAAGTTTTTTTATTAGCAGACAGGATTAAATGAACCATAATCTGAATGATTATGGTCTGATTTTTTTTTTGGGGGGGGTGAAAGCACACCCATGAATTTATTCCAAGTTTTTGATAGAAGATATTTTCCAGGTTGATTAACAAACTGGAACTACTTTTAATATTTAACAGGAATTTGTGTTAGTTGTAACAAGTTATATATTGGATCCATAAGGTATTATCTTTTAAGCAACGGATTGGAGAGAACTAATCCATATTCTGTGTATCCAGCCAAAGGGATATAAGGACAACTGGCCAATGGCACCTTCCTGTGGGGAGCTACTTCCGTCCAATTCCAGCAATGATACTTTTATAATGTACGAATTCATTTTTCTGGAAGAGCTATGTCTCATTCTCCATGGTTAATGCAGGATTGCTCATACCAGCTTTTCCTTTTCCCGAGTTTGTGCAGTTCTCTGACCAAGACTGAGAATCAGTAAGAAGGTGGCTCTGGGACTCTCTCAATGGCTTTGCAGGAAATTGATGGTTTTCAGGACTTTTAGTTGCTGAATTCAGTACTGCGGGAGTAGACAGTTGCTCGGGATCCTGGTTAACAAGGCAAGTTGGAAAGGAGCAGCTATCATCTAAACTTGAAAAAATGGGTAGCAACCAGTACTTCTCCTCATCACCAAATACTTGTCTCATCTTTTTACTGAAGCCCAAGCCTGATCCGTTCTTATCTGTTCCATGTTGAAATGCTGGACTTCTGAATGCCTCTAAAGCAGATTTATTTTTGCTGACTAGCCAACAATGATAGCCAAACAGAGAAGTCAAGCTGACAGAAAACATAGCTGCAGCAAGGAATGAAAACATAATATGGAACTTGGCGTGAGTATCAGGTAGGCCATTTGTCCAAAATTTGACAAAATACTGTAAATCTGTAACTGCAATAAAAAGGCAGTAGAGCAGAGGATAAGCCAAGAAAAGGAGAAAGAATTTATAATTCGAAAATCCAACACAATCGTTCATCCGCGGGCAATGATGAGCCATCTTCGATATACATCTATCACAGACAGAACAGTGATGGCAGCGATCTGGCTTTTAAGTTGGCATCTGTCACAATATCGGATTGCTCCAGACACGGTCCTGGTGTAGACGGGAAGACCTTTGGCTGCTCGCTCGCCTAAGAACTTCCTGATGGCTTCACCTCTCGGCTCTCTCTCCAGCAATTCTTTCTCTGCACGAGAGAGATGGAATTCTCTTGAAGGATTCGTTGGTAATGTAAAGACAGTTTTCCAGCATGACCAGGCAAACACTGCAGAGGGTAGATGGTAAGCTATCAGGCATTCAACTTGTTCACCGGTGATTTCCGTGGACGCTGCGCACGGCTGGATGGCGTAGGCACCGGAGGACCAGCCCAGCAGGCGGCACACGAACTCCGCTGGGGTCCAGCAGCGCACCGCCGGCACCGCCGCGAAGCTGCCCGGCCCGAGGCGCCAGCTTCCCGCCGCGTCCCCTGCCCAGCTCCGCAGCCGCCCGCGGGCCCGGCTCCGGGGCTGGCTGGCCGCACCCGGCGCCCTAGGCGGGCCGGCCCGGGGCGGCGGCGGCTGCTCCCGGCCACTGCCGCGCCCGGGCCAGGTCCCCCCCCGCGGCCCCGAGCCGGCCGCGGACTCCAGGCTGCTCAGCCCGGCGGGGGCGCGGCTGCGGCGGAGGACGAGGGGGACTCGTGGTCTGATTCTTGAGGTCATTCTTGTCCTTGTCGTCGTCATCGAGTAGTCTTATGAATTCAGAACCTGCTGTGCTTCATCTGCGCGATTTTTCTCTTTTGTCTTCTCCGTAGTTCAAAAGAAACAGAAGACTGAGGGAGCGAGTCTGTTGGCGGCCGCAGATGCACTCAGTGTCGGGGATGACTGCACCAGCGGCTGGTCCGATGTACGTTTTGAAGATGAACACCAAGATGAACGCAGCGGTTTTCATCATCGACGGGAAGGTAACTGATACTGGTAATTTAGGTCCTCGGAACTCAGAAGTGAACTGTGTACATTTGCAGAGTATTGTTTGAGAACTCCAAATATGAAATCCGGTATTATTTTCCAGGTGTTACTTCATTGCTCACAATGTTTTTCTCATAGTTTTTGGCGTTTATTAAATACAGCCATCAACCTGGCTAATCTTTGAGTATGCCAGTATTGCTTTGGACAATACGGTAAATGTTTAATTTTATGCTTTTTAAGTTTTTCCCAGGCTTTGGAGGAAACTGTTTTTTCTCACTTCAAAGAGGGCCCTTATTTTTTCTTTAGAGGGTTGGAAAAGGACAGTTATCTGTAAAGGGCACCAGAATAACCCTGTAACTTTCCCTATATTAGTTAAAATAGTATCTGTTGGGATGGGGGTCCTCACTTGTCCTGCTGTTAGGAACTAGTAACTTGGAACATTTATTTTATTTCATTTTTAAACATATTTTTTATTTTAAAATTGTGGGGTACAGTTAAGGGTTAGATATACAAATATGCGTCATTCAGGCATCCTTGCTGATAAGCGTTGTCCCCCGTCTCCAGACAGATATTGACTACCATTAATCCTATCACGTTTCCCCTCTCTGCCCCCCCATAGTTTCCCACCACTGTCAATCCTTTTCTTAGAGTATTACGATAGATGTTCAAGGTCCACTTATGAGTGAGAACATGTGATACTCGGGTCTTTGTTTCGGTGAGAGATTACTAAGTATTATAGACTCTAGTTCCATCCAGGTTGCTGCAAAATTCATGATTTTGTTCTTTTTTATGGCTGCGTAGTAGTCCATCCTGTATATGTACCACATTTTTTTTAATCCAGTCCTCTTTTGATGGAAAGCATGGTTGGATCCAGGTTCTTGCTATTGTGAACAATGCTGCGATAAACATACGTGGGCAGGTATCTTTTTTATAGAGTGATTTGAGTTCTTCAGGGTATATTCCCAGTAGGGGGATTGCGGGGTCATATGGGAGGTCGATATTTAGAGCTTTTAGGAATTGCCACACTGCTTTCCACAGAGGTTGCACTAGTTTACACTCCCACCAACAGTGTAGACGTGTTCCCTTTTCACCTCTCCAGCATCTGTTATTTTTTGAGTTATTGATAATGGCCATTTATACTTGAATGATTGAAAATTATAAATCAAAGACATGATAAAAATAGATTTTGTATTATAGCATATGTACATAATTTTTAATTTTGTTCAAAACAATGATGTTTGGAAGATTTTTATTAATTATGTTACAGTTGTTTCTTATATTCTTACTTACCTCTACCTAAGGCATTCCTGACTAACCTACAAAAATCTATAAAAACCTTTGTTCACATTAACTGATAACTGGAAATAACAGATATTATCCGTATGCACTGAGTCTAGAGAGAGGAAAGGATTCTCAGTATACTTCTCGTTTCTGGGATTTGTGGAAAGGACCCTGTGACATGTCAGCTGAACAGCCTTTGGAAATGGCAAACTAGGAGGGGGTGGGAAGACAACTGTTGAAGGAGGAGCTGAGGTAAAGTAAGGAAAGGAATAGCTTTTCACCTGTTAGATCACTTCATCTCAGGATTTTTATTAGATGATTGAATTAACTAATAAGTATTAAGATGTTTATAAAGTACCCTGGTGTTAAAATGGAACAATTATGTATGGGTAGAGCTAGTGGCAGCAGGCAGACTTGCAGTCAGTGGAACAACTCTGCAGAATGTTATATGAGTGAATGGTGCTATGTGGTATTAAGGTTCCAACTTAAAGAAAAAGATGGTGGAACTCATCCGCGGTTGGTATTATGCTTGGTGAATATACAGTTTCCAGCGCCTCCCCTCCAGAAATTAAGAGGTATTAGGTCAATGGCAGATCCTGAGAATCCGTGTGTTTTATAAGCACTTCAGGTGGTTTCAGCGTAGAGGCCACACTTGAAGTTGTATTGCTTCACGCATTGCATCTTTTGATGATAATTTCTGTAGATACCGTTTTTTTTTTCTGGTACAGAGATCAAGGTGGGCGATAAGGACTTTGGTGATTTGGAAACTCCTTGCCCTTTCATTATAAGTAGTAAGTTCAGTAGAGGACAACTAAAAAAAAAACAAAACAATAAATTACGATTTTCACAAGTGTTTAATAAGGTTGTAAAATTATTTGATCAGAAACAGAACTGGCCTATGTATGTTATTCTCTTAAATATTTCAGGTAGTTTGTGACTCTCTTAGAAGTTATGAATTAGATGGCATAAAGATAGGGCAAGATTTACAGAATTTTGAGATAATATTTATGAGATGTGTCAGAGTTAATAGTTTTCAATAAAGAAAGCCACAATAAAGAATTTTGGTACTGGACTGCCACTTATTTGAGGGTATAAGTACACCTGCTCTACCCATTAGAAATATGAAAAGACATAAAAGAAAATGATAAAAGGGGGATAGCGTTTCAGAAATGAAGTGGGAAGACTCTTTTTGGTGAAGAAATTAAGTTTTTTAAATATTGAGTTAATATAAGGTGATCATTCCTCCCACTTGATTCAGGATAGTCTGACTTCTGCTGTTCCGTTGTAATTATTAATGGTGACTTCTTTCATTTAAAAAGTTTTTAATAAATTAAAAATGAGGCTTTGCTTCTGGAATCTCAATTCTATTCCACTGATCTATATGCCTGTTCCTATACCAATACCAAGCTGTTTTGATGATTGTAGCTTTATAGTAAAGTTTGAAACCTGGTGATGTGATACCACCTGCTTTGTTTTTTTTGCTGAGGATTGTTCTGGCTATTCTTGGACATTTGTGTTTCCATATGAATTCCTGTGTTGTCTTTTCTAGGTCTGAGAGGAATGTTGCTGGTAATTTGATGGGTATTGCATTGAATTTGTAGATTGCCTTAGGTAAGATGGACATCTTCACAATGTTGATTCTTCCAATCCATGAGCATGGGATATTTTTCCACTTGTTTGTGTCATCTTTGATTTCTTTGAGCAGTGTTTTGCAGTTTTCATTGTAAAGGTCTTTCACGTCTCTGGTTAGGAAGATGCCAAGGTACTTCATTTTTTTTGTAGCTATTGTGAATGGAATTGTGTTTTTTATTTGGGTTTCTGTTTGTTTATTATTGGTGTAGAGAAATGCGATTGTCTTTTGTACATTTATTTTGTATCCTGAGACTTTGCCAAAGGCCTTTATCAGTGTAAGGAGGTTTTTGACAGATTCTCTTGGGTTTTCAAGGTACACAATCATATCATCTGCAAAGAGAGATAACTTGATTTTTGACAAGGCCTCCACCACCTACCACTGGGGAGAGGAGAACCTATTCAGTAAATGGTGCTGGGAAAACTGGCTGACCACATGCAGAAGATTGAAACAGGACCTCTATCTATCCCCATGCACAAAGGTTAACTCCAAATGGATCAGAGACCTAAATGTAAAACCTCAAACCATAAGAACCTTAGAAAATGAAGGAAATACCCTCATGGAAATCGGAACTGGCATCCAATTCCTGAACAAAGCCCGAAACCCACAGGTCATAAGAGAGAAGATAGACAAGTGGGACCTTATTAAACTGACAAGCTTCTGCAAAGCCAAAGAAACCATCAAGAGAGCAGGGAGACAGCCTACAGACTGGGAAAATATTTGCCAACACCAGGTCTGACAAAGGCTTAACATCCTGGATCTACAAGGAACTAAAACGTGCTGAAATGAAAAAAACAAACAACCCCATTATCAAATGGGCAAAAGATATGAACAGACACTTCACAAAAGAGGACATCTGAGCAGCCAACAAACACATGAAGAAATGCTCAACCTCACTAATCATCAGGGAGATGCAAATCAAAACCACACTGAGATACCACCTAACTCCAGTCAGAATGGCCATTATCAACAACTCAAAAAATAATAGCTGCTGGATAGGGTGTGGTGAAAAGGGAACACTTCTACATTGTTGGTGGGAGTGTAAACTAGTGCAACCTCTGTGGAAAGCAGTGTGGCGATTCCTAAAAGCTCTAAATATCAACCTCCCATATGACCCCGCAATCCCCCTACTGGGAATATACCTTGAAGAACTCAAATCACTCTATAAAAAAGATACCTGCACACGTATGTTTATCGCAGCGTTGTTCACAGTAGCAAGAACCTGGAAACAACCATGCTGCCCATCAAAAGAGGACTGGATTTTAAAAAGGTGATACATATACACAATGGAATACCACGCAGCCATAAAAAAGAACAAAATCATGAATTTTGCAGCAACCTGGATGGAAGTAGAGTGTATAATACTGAGTGACCTCTCACAGAAACAAAGATCCGAGTATCACATGTTCTCACTCATATAATGGACTTTGAACATCCAATGTAATACTATA